AATTAAATTCAGGGTTTGTTCACATTCATACTATCTGCCCAAAATGTGTATTTTTACATAAAAGTGTGATCCAATTTCTTTTACACCTAAGATCCCAAGCTTGGGGTTTTGTTTACATTATACTATCCACTAAAAACGTATATCGCTAAAGAAAAGAATGACCCAATTTTTTTTAAACAAAAGCATATGGATTTTGTCTAATTCCCAATCTTGAGGTTTATGTTAAAGGACAGAAAATTCTAAACAAAGGGAATGCCATAAGTTTATTAACAAGATCTCATAAGGGTGGAGAAATGAGATATATCAATGACACATTTTAGAGAGGAGCCCCAACACACAAAGAGGATTGGACCTGGAGCAAAGCTGTCATTTTCTCTGGTCATCTCGCAGAAACACACCCACATTTTCAGTGGTCGGTGATATGCATGAAAGGCAGTTTCTCCCACTATTTTATAAAAATTAGTACTAAATTTCTCAAATCACTATCCAGCAGAGGGATAGCTTAACCCTTCATGTAAATAATAGTCATATTCAATAAACCTGTTCGAGTTATCAAGTGTTGAGCATTTTATTGAAGGAGTTCTTATTCCAGCCCTGATTTCCAAGGAGAGAAAACAAAGCAGGATAATCCAGAATGGCAGTGTTACTCAACAAATCTAGCGGAGCTAGCAACTGAGGACAAAGAGGAGTGAGTGAAAAGTGGGGGTTACATAATTACACAGCCAAATATTTAATTAGAATAAAGGCTTTTGATAAAAGCAACTTTGTACCAATAATTTTCTGTTTTTCAATGCTGTTGCAACAAAGTGGCCTGCTGAAAGAAAGTTAAACATTTTGGGGAAAAAAAAAAGTTGGAAAAGATCTAAAAGAGTTAAGGGATAGAACGATAGATATACAGAGAAAAGCAGTAAAAATGTTTCTATCTTGTTAAAAAAAAAAAAAAAAACAAACTATTTCCCCCCTTTCTTCCTGAAAGCAAGGTCAGATGATAAAAATCGAATGATGATATTTCTCTTTGTGATGGCCACCTGGATAATTTCCACTTGGCCAGAGTTGAAAAGTATACAGAATGTTTTTCGCTTTCCTAAGATAAAAGACTAAAGATAGCTTAAGGATTTGATTAATGACCAGTTGTAGAGGGATGCCAACAGACAATGGTATTTCGGATAGACCCTGGGAAATGTACTTTCAGATGTAATTTTAAGAACAGCATGGATGTATTATGCATCTGCTCAGTGCTGAAAGAGGTTGTGCTATAGAAATAAAAACAAATTTTAGAAATTTCAACAAATAATAATTATAGCAGATGTAAGATTGTTGACAATCCTGAAGAGGGGGGGGGAATGTGTGCAAACAAACTCCGAAATTGAGATTTTCACTCTTGCTGGGAAAGAAGGATAATTTGAACATTCTCCAATGATAAAAATTGCAGATGTGAAAAGAAAAGATATGACGGATGATCGCTGAAGCAAGGCCTGGAGGGTTAGGTGGAAGGAGAAGTTAACTCCACTCAGTGCGGTGGTGGTGTAAGCAACAGTTCAATGGAAGTGACAGATATAAGGAGGCTATGAAGGAATGGTCTTAGGTGAAAGATTGTGTTGAGTGGAGACAACCCTCTCTAAGCACCAGTGAGAGATATGGCTCTGAGGAAGTGGGAGCAACAGGAAGGAGCAAATACAGTGCCTGCTCACTGGGGGGGTGAGGTAATTCCCAAATTTGGAAATCATAATGCCATGCAAGAAAATGCTAAATGAAGAAAAATGGGGAGGGGGGAGAGATACCATAAACCCCACCCTACTCCAGCTCAGAGTTAGGGTGCCTAAAAGCAAGATGCTTGGGGCGTTTTAACAGAACAGTTGGGTAGAGACAGAAGATAGTTGGCAAGTACAGTTCAAGAGATGATCATCCCCGAGATCAAAAATCACAATGTGGCAGGGAGATTGTGGAGATTGAATGACCAGCAAATGCTGGCCAGGTTTTGGACTGGGGTACCAGGGTCTTGGGTTATACTGTTTTACCCCTTTTACATTGGCAAATCTGAAATTTCACTTAAAAAAGGCAAGATAATGTCTGAGTGAAAAAAAAAAAAAAAAAAAAAGATACAATTCAAATAATTAAAATTATGTTTTATCCAATGATTACTTTTATATAAATCATCCTACACAAGTAAATTGTCTACATATCGTGTCCATTTTTATATTTCTAATATGCTTCAATTAAATAACCATTTCATGAAAATATTTGTGAAAAATTGACAAAAACTTCACCCTTTATATATATATATATATATATATATATATATATATATATATATATATATATATATATATATATATATATATTATATATTATATATTATATATTTATTTAATTTGTTAAATGTTATTTTTTTTATTTATTTATTAAATAGTAAAAAATATTTATTTCCATATGCCAGCCTGAATATTTGATAAAAATCTTATTAGAAAAATATATATTCAGGTCGGTAGGTGAAAAATAAATATATACTGTTTAATAAATTAAAAAATAGAGTATCTACTCGGATCTGGTATTAATTAAAAATAATGTTTAAGCAATAAATTAAAATATACCAGATTAATAAAACTCTGAACATTTTTCTCTAAAACAAGGGAGATAACTGCAATTACAATTATAAAACTTCCTTTTTCATCAAAATGTGATCCTAAAAAAAAAACATTTATTGAAAATGGTAATCACAGCCAGGAAGAGGAAATGTGAATAAAATAAATAAGTAAATCATTTTTTTTAAAAATGAGATTTTTTTTTTTTCATAGGTATTAACACAGAATTTGCATCAATGACTCTTGACCCAATACTTTAAGGATTAAAAGGAATCATATTCATATATAAGATTTGAACAGAATCAAATGATGGTCATTTTGAACAGTCACATTAAAAACAAGTGCAATTCTGGAAATTATGCTGATAGTTTTTTTTGGCATCGATTGGGGGGGGGGTTAGCTTCACTACTGTTCCCACTTATAAATGGCTGACTTAGATTTACAAACTTCTTTTGCTTAGCAAGATTTTCTTAGGAATAGTTATTCTTTGAAAATGAATGGTGGATAACTTTTTCTTTTTTTTTTTTTTCGTGCAGTAGCAGAATCTTTCATCTTTGATATCCCTTTATACAAAGTGGTAATGAAATGTCGGAAAAAAAAAAAAAAAAAAGTCTATGCTGGCATCTTAAAAGACAGCAAATAACATTTCTGAAAGAAAGATTTAAATCTCCAATATTAAAGAATCTAGCCTTTCCTCTTTATTTTTTTTAAAATTTTGACATTAAGCTTTTTAACTAAATAGACATGATTAACTTTCTGCATTTTGCAGCCTTTTTCTAAAATCTCTTGTTGCTGAAAGTAGTTTATGTCAAAGTTTTTTTTCTTCATTGCAATTTGCTTCCTATATTCAATGAACATTTTAAGCCAGCCTTTTTTTTTTTTTTTAATGAAATTACTTTTAAAGAACAGGTTTTGACAATAGGACATACATCTTGATTTCAATATCCCCCCACAAAAAAAAATTAAAAATTTTCTCCCATTTCTCAATATTTACAAACGTTCAAAGAGTATCCTATTGCAAAAACGTATGCATAATTAATGCAACGTTTTCTTATGAATCATCAAATGACAAATAATGGGATCCTTGGTGACACAAAGAATATAGACAATGTCCTGAAAGTAGATCTTGCAAAGTTTGTCAAGGATTGGTGACGGCTGCAATATTTATTTTGCCCCTTTCTGATTATTCAACATTTCTTTGCTTCCATAAATTTTGCTTTTTTTCTTTTTCCTTGAAGTGGACAGGACAAAAAGCATCATGATTAAATTTAAGTTTGGAAAGGGGATACAAAATGTCCTATAATAATTTTTATAACATACATACACACACACAAATGGAGACTTGGAGTGGCTTATGAGAGAGGGGGGAAAAAAAAAAAAGCATATTCTTGGCCCAAATACATAACTAATTTTATTCAATAACATTTTAATTCTCAAATACAGAAACACGCACACATACACACAAAGTAATAAAAAAAAAAGCCTACAGAGCGACATTTTTTCCTCAGTATCCACTTAAGACAGAAACAGGCCATGAAATCCAGACAGCTAAATCAAATTGACCTATGCAAACAATGAAAGCAACGCAAAGGAACTTGTGGATGTTGGGTGTGGAGGCTGTAACAAGTTCAAACCAAAATCTTTCAAGCAGGTTATTACAAAATCAGAAGATGAGTTTAGAACTTGAAAAAAAAAAAAAATAAATAAAAAAAAAAAAAAAAAAAAAATAAAAAAAAATAAAAATTTATTGTGGAACCCAAAAAATATACAATTAAAATGTACAAGTGATGTTGATGACAACAAGAATGGAGATGAAGTGAAAGAAAGAGGAAAGAAAAACCATTTGTATCACTCTCAAAACCGATTCCAATAAATGAATTTTGTTAAGAGAAAAAAAGCTTTGTCTCTTTTACTCAGTATTTTGTTATTTACAGATCAAATTTTCAATAAATGAAAAATCTTCAATATCAGAAAAAAGTTCATTTTTTTGTACCCAATTCAGTCCATAAAAAAAAATTTAAAGAAAAAAACACCCAAAAAAAAAAAAAAAAAAAAAAAAAGGCTATATGAATAGATTTTTTTTTTAAGGTAAAATTAAGTTATAAATATGATTCCCTTCCTCAATATGGTATCATTCAATTGGAAGATTCCCTCAAGATTTGCACAAAACTTGCTAGCATTTCATTAGTAGAGAAAAAAAAAAAAACAGAAATGAAGAAAGTGTATGTGTGTGTGGAGAGAATGAATGAGAAAAGGAAATGTGGAAGATTTGAAAGGTCAAGTCGAAGAAATAGAGACCAAGGACAGAAGAGTAACGATGCAGTGTCAATTAAATCTGTGGCCAAGAGGAAGGAAGGAATTGGTAGTGCGAGATGCTGCAGTGGTGGTCAAATGGCCTTGGGCTTGAGAGCTGGACACTCAAAGATTTGTCTGGTGACAGTTACGTGGTTTTAAGGGTTCCCTTTTTGGTTCTGACATTTGCTGAAAAAAAAAAAAAAAAAAAAAAAGAAGAAAATAAAATAAGCAGAAAGAAGATAATGCCTGCCAAGAGTAACACATGACAGTATCTGCAGGTGACATAATGAAAGGAAAAAAATGGGGAAAATAACTAAGACCTTGGTTGGGAACTAAAGAAGCTGTGAAATAAAGATGAAGGGCAATTACTTCAATGTCATTTTTCAGCTGAAAAATAAACGGGATCATCAACAAAATCCAAACACAAGCTCTTGAGTCTCAATAAGAAAGACACTTTTGCATGAATCTAATATAACAATATTTAAACTTATATTTTTTCTATAAATATGTCAAAGAATCTTTACAAAATATTTACAGGAATAGTTTTTTTTTTGTTGTTTTTTTTTTATTTATTTTACATTAAAAAAATAAAAAAGTACACCGACTTTTTTAAAATGTGAGTAACTTAACAAAAAAAACAATGTTCTATTAAAGTTTAGTCATGGAGTAATGGATAGTGGTTCGGATTGAGGAATCAGAGAGCCAATTTCGAATTCCCGTCGAATCCATTACATTCACTTACGTGCTAATACCCTTGGGAACGGGGTGAATCCTCTTCTCCCTCCAGCTATGGGTAAAATAGCAGGACAGACTGGTTTCTATAGCCTTGGATGGCAACTGATCTACCACAAAAAGAAATGGCAACCTACTGCGGGGGAAAAAATCTGTCTTGTCAATTATGTATCAAAAAGATACATGATTGCCTAAGCATGTATCACGCATGGCACATAACTGACTGACTGATTTTTATCAAAATACATAAATATATCATTGACAAAAAAACAAAAAAAACAAAAAAAAAAACAAAAAAACATAAGAATTAGTTTTAATCTTTCCATAGAAAATAAATTATGTGCATTTGAAATTTATTTTTTAAAGAGGCCGTGACTTGGAGTTGTTTCCAATTCTAAACAGATTTTGTAAAATGCACTCCATTTACAATTTTAAAAAAAAAACTGCAACATTGAATATTAACGAAATATTACAAACAACTTTACACACGTCATAAAAATGAAGGCAGATTGTATTAAGTTATTAGAAAGTTTTCACAAATTTTTAAAATATATTTTCCCCAATTATTATTATTATCTACTACTTTTATAGCAAAGACACTGCCACCCAGAGTCACATGTGCAAGTTAGCTAACTAGTAGAGCAAAAGAACATTTGGAATATTACACATAATACAACAAATATTTACCAACTTCTTCATTTTAAGTTGGTCTTTCCTAATGAAAGCAATTTTTAAATTATACTAAACTTGGATGTGCACATAGTATTACGGTAATCAGCATGCAAAACAATGGCTGAAATTTGTTTTGTTTGCTTTTGCACAAATATATAGCCTTAAGAAATGTATGAATTCATCTCTTCAGACCATCTCTGCTATGGATTAAATAGCAAGACAGACAAGATTCTCTAGACTTGATTGGCAATCAGTTTAGAAAAAATACAATGTTGAAACCAAAATTGATTTTGTGTGAGGTGGTGCCAACTCTACCCCTATAAAAACCTACTTGCTATGGAAATCACAGCAGCAACAGCTAGCATGGGGAGGCTGTGGCCCTATACTCCCCACAAGGGAGTTTGAGATTTTTTTTTTCTTTATATATAAAATTTCAACACACCAATTTTTTTTTTTTTTTTTTTAAAATAGACCTATTTTGTCAGTCAGTCATGATTGCATTCATTCCTGACCCCTGATAATACCTTTCTGAATTTTGAAAGAATTGTGAAAATGAAATGGCTTTTGTGAAGATAACTATGAAGTCATATCAATACCTTCTCATCTTCATACAATAGAATCAACCAAAAACATTTAAATATAGTTGATGACTATTATTATTAAAACTGCAGAAATAACTTTTTACAGCAACAGCAGCAAAATATCAATTCACAAAGAATCCCAAAATCCATTAAGCCATAAACCCCTTCAGTAGGACAGTCAATTAAAAATTGGCTATAGAACCACTGAGGCCCAGCTGAACAATGCATGTGTCCCCCACCATGCTTTTCAGTTAAACTCTTTCTACTTTGCAGAAATGATCTGACTAAAGGTGTAACCCGATCATCTGTGAATATCTATGCTGATGATACAATGGTATATTGGTTCTAACAGTTCAGTACAAGAAAAATTGGTTAGTCACATTCAGTGCCTTGAAAACCAAACTAGTGACATTCCATCATGACCAAGTGGACCCTGAATTTTCGCCTATCGTGTTTTCTCAGGCAGGACCCCTGCTTTGAGCAACTACTGGGACTTACAAGAGCCAGATCAGGCCCAAAATGGAGTATTGCTGCCATATATGGCCAGGAGCTGCCTAGTCTTCACTTTCCAGTTTCAACAGGCCAAAAGAGTCTCTGCGGCCTTGGGGGAGGGGAATTATTTCCCACCCTACAACTCCTTTCCTTACAGGTGAAATGTTGCAAGCCTCACACTATTCTCTCATTATTTCCATGGAAAATGTTTAGATGAACTAAATTCCTTAGTTCTAAACTTCAGGGCTAGGACCCATCATGTCACATGCATTGTAACAAACCAACCTCATTCCCTTCATATTTTATTGGTGACATGTAACTTAAACAGCTGCTTCCCAGAGTCACTTCATGGAACCAACTCCCAAGAGGATGCTTCCCCAGTCACCACAATCTTAACCTGTTCAACTCTAGGGTTAATTATTATCTTCTCCACATATTCCCATAAACTACTGTATCTCTTACTCTGTAACCCTCTATCTCAAGTGGCTTTTGGGCCTTGTACAGACTGAACATTATTGTAAAAAAAAAAAAAAAAAATCTTTGACTAATATTTTTCATCTTTATTTAGGTTGCTTTCTTTTGAAACTAATTAAGCCATTATTAAAAAATAAATAAATAAATGACATGGTTTCATCTAATAAATTCAAGATGATGTTACTTGTAAAAGTACCAAAGATATGAGCAGCAGGCATATGGCCAAGATAATGAATAATTTTTTTTTTATAGATTAATGAGTGAAATAGCTTTCTGTAAGCAGAAATGTCTGGATAGACACACACACACACACACAAAGCAGCACTAACAGATTCAGAGGAAAAAACAAAATTGCAGACAATCATTGAATGTGGAGGATTGAATAAAAGTCATATTTAATGATCAATCTGCATTGGCCAATACTGGAATTTTTGTCTGAAATTATTATTTAACTTTCATTTTTTGAAAGATGAAACATTGTCAATCATTAATTCTTAACTAATATTTATTTTCATTTTTTTTTTTATTTTGTTGCAGCTTTACTTTAGTGCATTATCTTCACTGGCTCCTTCATTAAAATAGCCTTGTACCAAACTAAACCTCTTAAATACCAGTATTTTTCTTTTCCAAATAGATTTAAATAGAAGTGATTATGTGGCCATCATGCTAAAGTAAAAAGTTTTATAAGATTTTTAACTCATTTTGAATGGAGATTTTGCTGTTAATGTAATCATCTTGCTCAACTGCTTTTTTAACAAATATTTTTAGATTGAGAGAAAAAAAAAATTATCATAATAAATAATTTTATTATTGACAAAGTAAAAATTTCCATCTTATGATGCCACATTAAAATTAGCAACAGGAAAAAAAATCGTTTCATCAATCTGCTACCTTGCTTTGGTTAGCAAGTTGATCTCTTATATTGTTTTAATCATAGAGAATTCCTTCCTACTGACTGGTTACCCTTCAACCCTAACACTTGTATCAGTTTCATAAAGAAAAAAAAAGAAAAAAAAGATATCAAAGAAATTTCTTAATTCTCTTGCCTTAAGAGGGAAATATAAAACACCTACACCACAAAACAGGAAAAAACAAAAAAACAAAACAAATAGAGCTCCAAGTAGAAAGATGATGAAAAGCAAGAAATGGAGCCACCCAGAGGAAAAAGCAGTTAAGCAAAGCCGGGGTCGATTTGGTGATATGAGGGTGGGTGGAACATTTTACCTTTTTTGGACAGGTCCAACATTCAATGACATCTAAACTGGATGAAACAATGATTGATAAGTTTTCATTTCAATGAGGTTGAAAAAAAAAAAAAATTTTTTTAAATAAAAATAAAAAATCAAACAAAACAATAATTAAATGTCTAGACTAAAGTTTCTATAACCCCAAATGACACTTATTTTTTTCCCTTTTTGACAGTGTTCCCATATATCTGTATAAAAAAAATTCCAGGACTATGTTAAGAAATTTCAAGAACTGAAACTGGCACATGTACACATACAGTTAATGTTCACTAGTTTCAAAAACAAACTCATTTATCTTTTAATAGAGATGTTCAAAGAAAAGCTACATCTGGTTCCAATAATTCATGTTACATGGATCAGTTGAAAGCAGTGAAGAAATCCAAGTGTTGAAGGTTAAAACACAACCGAATGCAGACTTGGTTATGTTACACATTTTGCGTAGCATTCTACACAGTTTAGCATTTTACTACACTTGAAAGTTTTGAATCACACACTTTGATTCTTACTGCTACACATTTCAGCTATCTAGACTATTCATGGTTTGCAAATGTCACAAAAACTCTTGATTGCTGCACATTTCCTGTGAAGTTAAGTGTAATGGTTTAATGAATAGAACTACAAATAGAAATTGAAAAAAAAAATAAAAAGACTACAGATTTTAGCTACTTCTACTACTCATGGCTTTTGTTGCACATGACACAGAACACAATGATGTTAACATTTTTTCAGTTCATCTAGTTTAGGGGCCTGTCCATGAAAGAGTACCAGCAATCTGCAAACAACTTTCCAGTTTTTGACATTCTTTGTTGCAAAAACAAGGAAGAGTAGAACAAGGCGTCCAGATGGTCTTCATGCTTGCAGAAATTCTTGAAAGCAATATTTCCAGCAGCTTCCTCCTCGAACACTTTGTACTGACTGATGACATCATCACAATCAGACTTGCTGACTTGTTTTCTCCATCATGTGGGAAAGACATTTTTTTTTTTTA